GGGGGGGGCATTCTTTATTACGATGTTTGTCTTCTGGAGCAACTTATACATGAACTGAAGCCCTACTTCCTGGGAAGTGGCTGGACATCGCCTACTAATGGAAAGTAGAGAATAAATCTTTAGTTTTCCTTTGTTTCCACAGATACCTTTAGCTTTATTAAACTGCCTTTATCTTGACTCACAAGGTATTTTCTATCTTATTTTCTCCCCCCCAGCCACTGAAGAGGTGAGTTTGGTGGGCACCTGGCATTCAGCCAAGGTCAACCCATCACAATTTCTAAATCAATACTTCCATGCATGGATAAGCCTAGAATATCTAAAATAATCTTGTGGACACTTGGCTTGTTTTGAACTGTGAAAAAATCCATGTGGTGACTTTCAAGGCAATGTCTTTGTGCAATACATGGCACAGTTCTTGCTAGTATTAAAACTTTCCTGTCAAAACCTGGAAAGTCTCATTATTCAAAAAGAGCTTTACCACGGGCCTGTGCACATCCCAGAATGCTCTTTCCTGGCTGTCCAAAATCTTTCTTTCTGTTTTATCCTTTTTCCTGTCGATTCTGAAAACAAAAGCATAAACATATGAGTCAACACATGGGTAATGCTTTCTTCTTTGTTACAGTTCCTAGATTGGGTTTTAACCCCATCACAAAAAAGTTCAAAAATCCATTTTTTTTTGTACAGAAATGTCACACTCCCATTTGCAAGACCATGTGCCATGACCAAAATATCACTGATGTTGGCTCCAATATGTGTCAAAGGAGATTTTCCTATTAAGGTGGAAAATTTATTTTAATATTTTCTTTTTCATCAGGTGAGGAAAACCACCTTTCCCGATATTCTGTTCCTAGAGCCAGATTTGGCAGGCTGGGGATGTTCATGTTTGGCTTTGGCTCTGTCAGGAAACCCACCAGGACCCTCTTTACTCCAGGTGAAGCGCTCGGTCAGTGATGGACAGAGGTCCATGCTGGGAAGTCCTGTTGCACACTGGTACCCCTGCAGCACCACTGCTATGACCACAGATTGCGAAGGGGCAGCTATCTCAGGTGTTTCCAGCAGGAACAGCATGGGCAGCACTTGGGGCCACGTTCTTAGGGCTCCTCCCACCTGCCCTGGTGTTAGCAGAGTGAGGGGTGACGGCACAGGTGACTGGAGCTGAGCTTGCTGCCTGGTCCCGTGCAAGCTAGCACTCACCCAAGAGACATGCAACTGGGCCAGCGCAACTGCAGCTCAACTGCAGCCCTGATGCAGCCAGTGAATCAACTCGCTCAAAGCACACAGACCAAAGGCCACCAGAGGTTGTTCAAAGCAGCTGTTCCCCTGTCCTGGCAGCACTGAGCAATGCCTGTCTGGTGCCTCACTCCCATGCTCAGCTCTACCCATAAGCACAGCAAAGTCACCACCGGCTCGTAAGATCTATCTGCAGAGACACTGGATGAAGCACAGGGAAGGAGGAACGACTTTCACCTCCAGAGCAGGACTGAGAAGCTGACAGTGTCTCTGCTGGGTTCCCGCACTGCTGCCACCCAGAAATATCAAAGCAGTGAGGAAAAACACCATGAAAGCTGGGATTTTGGACCAATAAGTTCTCCCCTCTCCTGTGTTTCTTTTGGAGGGTCAGTGGCTAAGTCTGTGCTAGAAATGTACCAGGAGGATAGAAAATTGGGAACCAAAACTGAAGTTTCTGAACACTCCTCCCCACAAAAAGCCTGAGTCCTCAGAAGTTCAGTATCACTCTCTGAATATATTCCCACTGCAAGGCTGAGACGAGAAACCAGCTCTGCACAGGGTCTGTCCCTGCCATCAAACAGCAGTCACTGCACTGTCTTGAAGAGCAAAGGCAAACACCCAGCCCAAAACATTTTTTTTTTTCTGAGCGAGCCCTTCATGCTCAGCCAAAGGGGAAGGTGAAGCCTTCTGCCAACTTCACAGCACACACAAACTGGAGGGACTCTCTGGAGGCTCTGGGAATTGTCTTCAGGGGTGCTTTATGCTGAAGCCAGGTTCTCGGCTCAAATCCCCAAACTTACTGATTACTCAGTATTTCACATTTTAAACTATGAAGACACAACATAATTAGATGCTCTGTGGCTGCAGTTTTGGAGCAATGTAGGTATAGCAATGGAAATCCTGTGTGCATGAAGATGTGGAAGGCAGAGCAGAACTTGATAATCAGGAGGAATGTTTAGAGGTATTTTTGCTTTGCTTTCCCTTTTAATCAATTCAGGGCTGTGAATTACACTGTGAATGCCAGCACTGCCTTGTTGGAAACCTGAAGACTGAACCATCACATGAACTGGGAACCAAGAAGCTGAAACTAGCCAGCAATAAAAGTTGATAGTGGTTGGTCTGTGCTTATGTTTCAGAGAAAACTGAATGGAGAAAAGATGAATAAGCAACAGTGATCACGTCAAGAATCTGATATTTACATTTCTTTTTTAGGTAATAATTGTATGCTGTGGACAAAATGCAGAATTTTGTTTTGACTTAGATTTTATTTTTTCTCATCTTGACAATAAACCTTTAAGTAACTGAAAGCACAATTGCTATCGTAACTTCTAATTTTCTCTTCCAAACAGAACACTGGTATTCCGGTTGGAAAAAAATCCCTTAATTACCTCGTAAATTAAAGGATAATTACCATGTACTTAAATAGTGCATAATTACAATGTTATTAAGCAAAGAATTAATCAAAATTCCAAAGAGCTCAGCCACACCCTCAAGAACTGATGTTCCTTAACTTTTTAGCAGCTAACGCTGAAAGTGCAAATTCCTTCTAGTGGTACAGAGTGTCAGTACTGGTGTTCTCATGTGGCATCTTCACCAACCAATTTTATAAGTGACAACTACATGCACAAAATGGACATGGAGTAGTTTAGGCACTAGACTATAAACCCTGGACCATACTAATTTTGCAGAAGCAATGAAAACATGCTCAAATCATTGAGAGGCTTCAAACTGTTTTCACAAGGGAAGATGATAAAATAAATGTAGATTTCAATTATAAGCATAGGATAGGAAAAAAAAATACTAAATCTGGATGAGTTTCATGCAAGTGGTACTCAATCCTCCATGCTAACTTGGTAGCACAAGTCAGACTTCACAGAGTAAAGGTATGATGGAGTCAATTGGGATTGGTATAAATGAGAAAACCAAATCCAGTCTGCTGTAAATACGACCCTTATAATCACTTTGAAGTAGCAGTATTTTTAAACTCAGAAATACTTTATGAGCATAGAGTAACACAGACAGATAACAACATTCTGTTCTTTCCATTTATACAAAACAAAAATGCCCCACAAAAGTAGAAGCAAAATGGGCAACTGTATTGCCCAGGCTCCCATGGTGAATCCTGGCTCAGGAGCTCCTGACCAACATTTCCATGTACAGATAAATAAATCCATCTTTCAGATTCTGGCACCAACCTCCAGAAGTGGCTCTCTACTATTGCTCTCTAGACTGCCAGTGGTTAAAATTTACCAACACCTTCTGAGCTTAGTTGCAGTAAAGACTTTGACAGAGAAGTTTTATCTGTACAGAATCCCCTTCCCTTCACAGCTCTAAATACCAGTGCAGTTCAGTGCTCCAGGTTTACTCACTTCACTTGGGCCTCAGCTTGCATGAAGATGAATTCCCACTTTCTTGCAAATGCTCTCTGAAGTCTTGCTAAGTTTTCCTGACAAAAGACGAAAATAGTAAGAACAATTAATCTCTGTAATTATAACAACTGCTTAAGAGCACAGTTAGCATGGCAGGTGTTTATTTTATTCTTTTTTTGTTTTAAACTGGAAAACTCAAGACACAGAAGCCAGTATCTTGCAGGCAAAACAAGGCTGTAACACATTCCTTTTGGGCTGCAGCCCCATAGCTGCAGTCAAGAGGGCCCTGTTGGGGAGAAGTAATGGAGTGTGATGAAGACAGCCTGAGCTCTACTATGAAAATAATATGGACTTGTTCCCCAAAGATAACACTGGGAAGCTCTGTGAAGCTGACAACTTCCATTTCTGATAGCAGATGGCTGCCACCTGCATGTTTCTCTCTCATCCCCACGTTCACTTCCTCCCCCCATTGCTCTCTTCTCTTCAGGCTTTTGCAAAGGTGCAAAGCCTGAGCATCCCTTGCTTTACTCACCCTGAGAACCGCTAAGAGCATTACGCAGCTGCACAGCACTGAGGGCTGGGGATTACAAGGATGATTCATAAAAGGAAATAGCTTGTTTGTCTGAATGATGAGCATCACTAACTGCAAAGACTGGGTCCAGATGCAGCCCAGCTCTGCATCTGAAGTAAAAAGTTCTGGTCCAGCCCCATTACAGAGAGTGTTGTGATCTGAACGTTCAGAGGTGGATATGACTTCATCACAGCTCAAGGTCAAACTCGGGACATGGCCAGAATTTCAGGCTCAAATGGCACCCCGAAGTCACATATCCACACCCACCCTGACAAGGAGGCCTATGAGACCATTAACCTGATGCTCTTCTCTATTACAGCTGATTCAACTGTTGCAAATTTTCATTGAAAATGTATACTATTAATTCTACTGCCATTCTTTTTATACCTCTTACCTTTATTTCAAGAAAGTGCTTAAGTGCATGCATTTCAATGCTAGAAGAAATCTTCCTACTGTTTACTTTAAACTCTGGTATAACACAAGGCATAAAGCTTGGCCCTGTTACCATCACGTCTATATAAGAATTTCAGTTCATATACACGGAGGAAAACAGTTAAGCAAATGATTTACAGCTGTGCTGAACTGTGATGATTTCCTCAACTGTGGCTATGGGAAAGAACTAATTATCTGCAAAAACAATTTTTTGTGGGTTTCTCTTTCTTTTTAATTTTGTTTTAAATTATGTTCACATGTGCCCTCCGGAATAAATACGCTGAAGCCAATGAAAGATCACGATCGAAGCAGTATTTGAATCATGCTTATGTTTGGCCAATTATAAACAAAATTGAATACAATTATGCAAACTTAATCCTATCATCAAGACCACTGCTCTACCAGGATAAATGGAGGGGTCGGTTGTCTATGAATGCTGCAAGCAGAACCTAAAACTGAGATGATGTCCCCTGAGATGCTTTGCAGAGATTCTCTTTGGAAACTCCAGGTCAGTGCTGCTACCTGTGGAGAAGCATTCTCATGCCACATCTCAAAAAATGTGTACTAAATGTAGAAGGCTTCTTCCCACTCCTGTAAACCTGTTTCTCTCACTTGTGCTTAGCTTACATCTCCATTGCTGGATCTGCTTCAGCTCCCATAATGACTAGGAAGAGTTGGTGCCATTCTTATCTGATTGTCTCTAATTAAGAGAGCAAAGTTTGAATGCAGAAGTAATCTCTAATTGTGCAATGCAATATTCACAAGAAAAATGAGAGACTGCCAAGATCTAATTATTTGCCATCACTGGAGCATTGCTACTCTCAGTAGACAACGATGTGCAAAAGTACTTAGCCATAGCCTCCCTGTATGTGTGTGGGAGTGTGCGTGCTGCTGAACAGCCTTTTGTTGCTTTATGATAGATCTTTAGAGTACTTACACTTAATTGGTTGGCTGTGAGCAATTTTAATGGTTTTAATAATGAAATCAGCAATATGCAGAAGAGAAAACACAGCAAAAGGATATGTAAGTGCATGCAGATTATTATATTCCTTGCTTTATGCCCCTACTTCAAGATTAGAACTCTTGGGAACTCTGGATGCATTTCCAGGATGGACTAGATAAGTGGCAATTTTTGCATGCTCTTCACTGAAAGGACCAAATGGCATGTATATATATCCATGTGCACAAAGGCCACAAAATGTAGAAGGTAAGGAAGAAGGAAAAAGTCCATTCTTGGAAAAAAACCCTACAATATCCGTAACAAATATTTTCATTTTAATAAACATGAACACAGAAGTCCACTAAAACTGTCTTTGTAAACAAACCCTCCAGTGAAAAACTCCACATTGGAAATTCAGCTGTTACACTGTTGAGCTAGTAAACAAAGAAAAGTCAGTAGGATAGAAAGAAAAGTTCAGCTGGTCAGAGCGCTACACTGCTGGTATTCAAAGAAACTCACACCCGCCCTGCCCCTCCCGCCTTCACCCTCCAACTCCTCTCCACCCAAACCCTTAACCTTTGAAGCCAAAGTTGGGGATATTTTTATGGATAACTATTTCGTAACAGAAAACATGCCCTGAATAAGCTTGAGTAATACTTTTTTCTATGGCATACAGAAAACAGTCCAAGTCTAATATCTGAAAATCACTTTCATAACTAGATAGGTCATCAGCAATTTAATTGCGCAGTAATGCACCTGGAAAGCCATCATTTCCATGTGTTAATATCTGCTATATAAACCAAGAACTGTTAACTGGAAACAGGAAAGGAATGTAAGCTTCTGTGTATTCTGCTCCAATCTTGGAGGGCTGGCTATACAGCAGATGCTTTAATTTAAGATGTTGCAAAGCCAGGGATGTTCCCTGATCATATTCCTGATGTCTCCAGATCAACCTTCACACAATTCTGACAACTAAAAAAGGACACAGTAAAGGCTGATGCCAAAGCACAAAATGGCAGCATTCAATTGGCAAGCAAAGCCCTCCCTGTACCCCCCAGCTTTAAACTCTAGCAGCAGTGTACCTACGGCTTCATAATCCGCCAGCTCCAGCCTAGCTTTGTTCTGCATGGTCCGTTTGCAAAGATAGATGGCTAAAGGGAGAAACAGAATGGAAAACAATTACAGACAGATTATTAGTACTAGATCTTAAAAAAGAAAAAAGTGGTTCATGCACTGTTCATTCTCATCAGAAAGCAACATGAGCCAAGGAATGAGAGGGCTGAATACCCAGCTGACATTACCCACTAGTAATCTCAGAGGCCTTAAACATCTGGGACATCTCATTTAAAAGTGCTGAGAGTAGATGCCAGGACCTAACAAGATGTCTGAGAAAGGCACAATTGCTTCTGGGGCTGGTAAAAGATTTAGCATTAGCAACCTGTTCCTCTCAGCACTTTGGGAATATGCCTGCCAAAGTGAGCAGCCCTACACTTCTTTTCCCCTTTTGTTTAAAAAAAATATAAAAATCAGGATATTGAAGTGAAAGAGAAATACAGGCCAGATCCTAAAGGTATGATCTGAGCATTTTTTCATATGGTCCAGCCACTTACTCCACACATTTCAACTGGACAAGAAAAAACTTCTCACACTTCACCAAAGGCAGAGACTGCAGAAATTGATGTGGTTTGGGATTCTGAGAGTCAAGATGAACCTAGTGCACAACATCAAACCAGTCCCAGGCTGCCTTCTGGGAAAGCCTCAGCTGGACCTGCTAGCTCACCCCATTTCCATTACAGGCTGGAACATAAGGTCGCCAGCACACCCTGTGTCTACAATCAGGTCTGAACTACATAATAGAGGTCCAGTGCTCTCATTTTGGGATGAATCTAGATGTGAATTTTATAGCTTCCTTGTGTTTTGCCCTCTCTCATGATGCAGGGCCAGGTACTTATTGTCCAGCAGCATACCAACTCAAGACAGGGCAGAAGGCAAAAACATCATCTACAGAAAACTGCAATAAATCTTTTTCAGAAAATTTCAGCTTTTCTTTCTAAATCATGGGGTTTTAGTTTGCTGGTAAATACAATTTTCTGACACCTTCATGGATGTTTTTCACTGGAAACCTGTTCTTCTACTGAGAAAAAAAAAATATAAAAAACAAATAGTGCGAATTATGTAATTCTATTCTATGCTATTCCTATAATTCTAACATTTATATAATGAGCCAATATTATGCATGGTAACTAGAGCTGATCAGTTCATGTATATTTATACATCTCAAGGGCAGTTTCCTCTGTAAGCCATTTATAACATCAAATAAAGTGAGAGTCAGTCATCTCACAGTATTTCTTCATGCTAGGCAGTGACCTGCCATTAGCAAGTTAGTTCCTGTCCTGCAAGTGGATCCATGCAAATAAAAAAAGTATGAAGTGCTGCTGGGATTTCAGTTTTATTCGGGTCTACTGCTAGTTTGGGATTAATTCCTGGGAAGACTCCATCTGTACAGACCTCTGATATGCAAAGACTGATTATAAGCATATGTTAGAGATTTCTGGGACAGATGAAAATCTGTCACTACAGGGCTCAGAGCTAATACAGTTGCAGCTTGTCCAGCTGTGGGTCAGCTCATATAGGGCTTTATTTTGAGGTGTACTGCTCCACTCCATGCCCTTGCAGCACAATAATCTGATTGCAAAACCGGTTCTATATCAGATACTATAGGAAAAAAACCCAGAACTTCCCTCTTTGGATTGTGATTCTGATATTTACAGAATACATATCTGGCACAGTTCAGACAGTTATATATGGTGACTGTAATGTCTGGACATTATTTTGCATATAATGAAGAGCATCATGTTTCCTCCTAAGCAGTTCCCTCACTGGGATAAACACAGAAGTCTGTGCTAGCTTCCTTGCAGATGAGACTCCAAATGAACTGTCACATGACAGACACCATTGCAGGCTACTTTTCCACCTCAGTAAATGATTTCCAGAATCCATAATGAAGAGTAATTATTGCTCGGGAAAGAAAAAAACAAAACCTGATTATTCAGGGAGGAGTTCTAAACCGATCTTAGATTATGAGATATTTCAAAAGAAGGACTTCCAGAAGCTCCTGTTCTATGAGTGCACACATGGATTCACTTCCTCTTCCAATGCCACATCAGGATGCAACAATTGATTTTATCATTTAACTGTGAAAAAAATGCAGTTCTGGAAGAGACAGCAATATTGCATGCAGACAGCTAAAGATAACAACACTGACATATTTTCTTTATGTATTATCACTGTCTGCAGGCACTCACATGTTTAACACACTATGTTGCAGTTTATTAGCTCATAAACCATGCTTGGTCTCTTTTTTACCAGCTATCATCTGGTAATCTTAAAAAAATGGGAAAAATAAGTCTGATGTCATATATCAGATGACTTTAACTATAAGTTGCCATCAGTTATATACTGGTTTATTGATCAGCCAGATGAGTGCCCAGATGAGGTAACTTTTTATTGATCAACATAACAGATTCAGCTACAGATCAGAGTATGTCCTCCCACAAAAGCAATATCGGATTTAAGATTCCCAAGGAGCCATATTCTGCTCACCATAAATCCTGCCAAAAGTAACAGAGCTATGGGAAAATGAAGGTAACGGTAGGTAAAACCCTGGTCCCACTGAACTTGACAGCTACAGCTCCATGGGCTTGAGACACCCTGGGATTTCATTTCATGTATTTGAGATGGGCACATATCTGCCTCGGATGCTGCAGTCTGATAAGAAATTGCTGATGAAGGGTTTAGATGGCTAACAGTAATTATTTTAAGGATAATTTTTCCCATCACAAATTTTCTGTACTAACTTTCTACAATGAAATAATTATACTCTCACCATAATCTGTATTTTCTGGTTCCCAGCAGTTTGAAGGCCAAAAGTAGGGTGCCTAAGAAACAACATAGGCATTTTTGTAATTTAAGAGATGAAAAACAATTCAGATGCAGAAAAACATTGCAAGTACAAAGAGAAGAATCACAAAGTCTACAGCCTAGTCTCTGCCCTCAGGGGAAACATTGCTACAGGTCTCAGTTAAGAGTGAGGATGCTTTTCCACAGAGGTATCACCTTTAACATTCCTCACTGCAGGGAAATAGAGATGCTGTAATACAAGCATCTCTTGAGGAAGATGTCCATTATCCTGATTATATTTTAGACGCTGTTGTCAGCTCATCTGAATGTGGACCTTTTACCCTGTGTCCCCAGAACCTCCTCTTTCCCCAGCAATTCACAGGCCGCTAAATCTATTTTTTTTAAGAGCATGAGAAACTTCATGGCCTTTTATCTAAGCTACACACCACTTGCTTTTTTTGGAGCAGCTACAAGTGTGGTTGGCAGCATACGAAACAATTTACTTTTTAAATATAATAGATGACAGAGGTCAAAACTCAGCTGATTAGTTGTTCTGAAAGCAGAAGTCCGGCTAAGCTTACTGCTTTTGTTTTCTATCCAGGTCTGCATAGTGCAATTGCTACAATTAATTACAATATATTACTATGTGTGGCTGTATTTCAGTTTTAACATGAATGAAAAATAATGTCCCTGTGATCACACAAAGTACAGAATGCTGTTTTGCATTACTGATGTAATGCCACATATGGGTGTAGGACATTACACATAGACTATTCCTTGCACCAAAGTACTGTGAGAAAACATGGAGGGATCAGACAATACAAGGTTCAGTGGTCCTCACTGACATACATCTTAGGAACTTCACAAGACGATAACCTATTGTGAAAGAAGGGACTGATGCTGAGGTAGAAAGTGGCAGGAAAAGAGTAATGGAAAAGAAACATGTTTCTGTCAGGTTATATTTGCAGAAAACAGCTGAGGAGAACTGTTGCAGCAAATTACAACAGGCAAAGAATAATCAAAAGTTGTAGGAAAAGATAAGGAAAAGTCAATAAGCAGTCAAGACAATTTGGTGATATGATTTACGTAGGCTTAAAATAAGGAAAAGAAATTAAATGATATTGAAATCTAGCTCCTGAGAGCTGCACAAGACTTCTTATGGTGTAATTTAAAACAGAGAAAAATAACTAAATGGGCTATCAGTGTTACCCCTGCTTTTGTAAAGCCTTACACGACAGGAGGAGCAGGACTTCAGAAAAGCAAGGGAATTGTAATGAAAAATCTTAGTCTGAATGATGCCAGGTAACCAGAAGGTGGGGTGAGATAAGGGGAGGTCTTTGATCTCCTGGGCTGCTTTGTTCACTGTGCCATTGGTCTCATACGATAACACAGTACCACATTAGCAGTAGGACAGTGAGCATGAGCAGCAGTGAGATCAGATGCAAAGAGGAGAACGGGCTTTTTAAATAAAAACTAAAAAAGAGAAAAAAATGTAAAGAATGAACAGGAGGGTGAACAGAAGAAAGGCCACAGGAAAGATAAGGGAGCTGGCTAGGATCATGTAACAGAAAAACACAAATTCAGCCAGCAGGATTAGGCAGTAGGACTCCAGGTTTGAACTTACTGCTTCTTTTAAAGTTATGCAATCTGTCCAAAAGGAGTTGTTGCAGCACAAGCACTCAGTTATCTAGGAAGTTGACAGCAGCAGATTTTGGACAGGGCATGAAACTCAAGCGCAGGATGCTTTAAAAATTCAACACATCTGGAGGCACAGGGACACTGAGGGATAGAGATGTCCCATTTTAGGTGACTGCCAAGGTTACACATCCTTTGTAAAAAAGCCAAGTCTGAAGCTTGCCCCCTTCCACACCAATCTGTAACCAAGAAAGGATAAAAATTTGAATTTTCTGCTGTGCCAGAGCTTGAATATTCAACTCCAAAGCTTGCCCTGGTCCATTTTGGACAGGAGGGTGGCTACTCAATTCTGTGCCGAAGTTAGAACCTGAAAGCCATTTTTCCTTCTGGTTTAGTTCAAATCTGAGTACAACAGCCACATATCAAAAACAATCGCAGGACATATCTGTTCATTTATGTAAAAACTGTGGGTCAGAAAGAAGAGAGTGGTTTGGGATTCTAAAGCAGATCTTTTGGAAGGGACTTCATAACTTTCTAAGGCCTCAATCCCTGGCTTCATAAACCTAATGGGTGCTTAGGGATAAAGAGCAGGTGACTTCAGCAGTACTACTGCAGGGACAGTAGAAGGGGCCACAAGGGAGGCAGAGGGCTCACCAACCTGAAAACGATAGAACGTCCCATCATCTTTCAAGGTAAGGACATGATCTGAGATTGGAAAGACATAACCCTGTGCAGCAATAAGACTTCCCAAGTGTATTGCTTCCCCTGTGAAAGAGAGAAAACAGCAAGGATATGTCAGGAAGACATGCACTGCACACTCCTTTGCTTTCAGCAGCAGCTCTGGCAATGACTCACGTGAAGACCTGGAGCACACATGCCTCTCTGTACCCACACCACATCCCTATGCCTTCCAACCAAACTGTGCAAAGCACAAGAGCAGAAATCAGCCTTACAATACCGATGAAACACTGCTCAAATATTTAACCTGCTGGGTTTGTGTTTACAAAATGTCACACACCAGTTCAGCTCTACAGTCTGAATGAAATTCAACTCAAAGCACATTATCCACCACAGGTGACAGCTGACAAGAAGCCTGTTCCATCAGTGAACCCCACTTGCCTCTACCAAGTCTGACAAACACCTGCAACACCAGGTCATTAGCAGCATGTTTATTCATAAAGACAAATCCTGACACTGTACCACTGCCATTCATTAGAGGAAATGGTGCAGAGGCAAAGGGGAATATATAGCCTAGCAGCGCCAGGGCAACCTTCACCAGAGGCACATCTGCACAGATTCTCAACCAATGTCAGCTACCAAAAGCTGCATCAACTTTCTCAGAGTTGCAAAATACACATCAGCTGCTCATGCACCCCCAAGTAGATAATAAAGCTATTGTCTGCAGCTGAAATCTGGATTTTGGACTTAACTGCACTCATGAGAAGGGATGTGTGTGTAGGGATGCCCTGGGTAGAGACAGCACTGCCTCCATCTCTGCTTTTACATGGTGACAGTAGGCAGCAGAAACAAACTGGGTGGTGAGATGCAGGATTTTTTCCTTTTCCAGAAGAGGAAAAGAAACTTCTGGACCTGAAGACCTTTTCTTCCTCTTTTTCCAATAGTTCTTAACTGTGTCAAAATGATTTTGGTTTCTCTGAAGCATGAACTATTTGGACTGTGCCCATGCACTGATGGCTGATCATCCATTTATCTACCTGTTGTGATAAATTAGCAGCCATCATCTGATCCTGTAATGGTGTCTGTGTCACCTTTGGCTGGTATGTCCTGTCAGTCACGGCTACCTTTCTCCACACCATGAGAACATCCCACTGCATTTGCTTGCTTAACCACACCCACCCACCAACTTCCCTTCCAAGTTTGGGAACAACCTTAAAATCAATCAGTCTTTCTCAGGTAGCAACAATTTCAGAGAGAGGCTAAGACTCCTACAAAGTGTCTTCTGTGTGTTGCAGTGTAAAGCCTTAGACTTAACTGTTGATTCTTATCTCTTTCCCACCTTCTCTCCAATGCTTAAATTAACCTTGTTGTTCCACTAGTATTTTAGACTGTAGCAAAACAGTATCTACTGTCTAACAGCACACATAATACAGGTGGAGTATCTTCTCGTTCCCAGCTGTGGTCACCTTACCTGGATCATCAATGCTGAGGTTCTTCATAAGCCACTGCACAATATCAGCCAAAAAAAGAAAAAGAAGAGAAGAGAGAGAAGAAAGAATTAAACATTGAGACCAGAGGGTTTAAGAGCTCTAGAGAGATAACACTGAGATACATACAGTATAACTGACATGAATTTTATTCCATTTTCCTTTTTATCTCCACTGAGGTTTTCCTTCTTGTGACTAGCTATAATTATATACTTACTGACAGGTATTAAGTCCCAAAAAGTATTCTGTATGATAGGAAACTTGATATACTTTAAGTCAGATATTACTCTAATGGTTCCATGTAACTTATTCTCTCTCAGTTGCTTCTCTCTCATCTCAGCGCACCAGGAGTTATGTTTCTGCAAGCACTAGCTAGCAAGGAGATGAAGGAGCATTTACTGGCACCTTGCACCTGTAATGTCAAAGGCAATAATCTAAAAGTACAGAACTAAGTTATCAGTCAAAAAAAGACAGAGGAAAGCCTCCTCACTCCTGCCAAAGACAAGCAATATCTTGGAGAAGGAAGTGGTATTCAGTGTGCCTCTAACCAAGCCCCTGTTGAGCTGTCACCTGCTAGTGACTGCACCAGCAGGTTGGTGGCCAGGAGCAGGGAAGTGAGTCTTTAAGGCCTATCAGGTAGTTTTTTAGGCTTTCAGGGCCCATCAAGTAGTACAAAGGTTGTTGCTCTCTTCTAGGCAGCGTAAAGATCTCTAGGAGTGATCCTCTGCAGGCATACAACCCCTCTGTTGTTTGAATGGAAATCATAGAAGTGGAAAATGTGTCACTGTTCAGTAGAAGCTAAGGCCTTTTATCAAGATACAACATGACAGGGCAGCAAAATTTATTTAAATCCCATACTCAGAAAGTTAAGCTTAAAATGAAATATAGTAGTGTATACAAGTCAGCTAACTTGACTTGTCCAAACTCAATGGCAATCAGCAAAGGCACTTGGAGGCAATTTAGCAAGTCCACGCCAAGCTACAGCAGCGTGCAGCACAACCTAACGATGCCCTGTCTGGATGCAGACATTAACAGCCAGCCCTTCTCAGCGTAGAGTCAATTTGTTGAGAAATATTTGCCTTCACATACAGCAGGCTAATAGCCCTGGTAATACTTAGTGCTATGCTTTGTGATATATCAGTTGAAGATAGCATACAAAAAGGAACTGGTCAACCATATGGCTCAGTTTTACTAAACAAACCCCAGAGGATCTTATTTGCATGGAGCACTTCTGAATTCAGACATGGTGGGCACTTTAAGAAACAGCATAACCCACGTGATGCCACTTCCAGAAAAGTCTGAAGGACATTTTGCTTTCCATAGGCTCAGAGCATCCCCACACCCTCAGCAAAACTTAAATACAACAAAGGTCAGGGGTCACAATTACAATGTGCCACTGAGAGACACAACAGGCGCTGCTGGTGTCCCAGGTCCCTGCAACATCTGCAGGGCTGAGTGACTCAGCCATACAGGTGAAAGTCCCACTAGAAATGTGGACTCCCTCTATCCCTGACAACACAAGTTGACCCAAGACTCCACAAGCTGCACCAGTAAACCCTCATCAGTCAGGCTTCAGCAGCAAGCAGGAATATGAACCTGATATCCCTCATCCCCCACTCAAGACAAGTGAAACAACTTTTCCCCCTGCAGGCAATCAGCAGAGCTCATAAAGATCAGGGAAGCATTCACTTAAATACTGGGCACACAGATGTGATCAACAAACATCAGCTGGACATTGTCTCAATCTGTCTTGAAGCCATCAACAAACCAGGCACTAAAGGACCCATCTCACAAGTTTGTAATCTCAGCTCTAAAGTCACTCTCCGCACCTCCCACCTCCACCTAGAAGCAATTTAAGTTGCTGCTATGCAATTTGGAAAGCTATTCCAGAATTTTTTTGGTTTTTTTTTTGTTTGTTTGTTTGGATAGATGGAACTCTCCTTGTAATTTCCCAGACTAAGTTCATTAATATGCAATTTACATGTATTTTATACCATATCTTATCATTCAACAGGAAGAATTCTTCTTCCTTGATAGCTTCTCCTGAGTGTTTCTTCAGAGGGCTGAAACAACCAACCAAACTCTTTTAATGTCCTCTTAAGATGGTCTCTCTCTGCTTTAGCATTCAGCAACTCTTCAAATTTAACTTCCATTTCTTTACACTAGGGTGACCAGACTGGCAGGCAGTACCTTGCAGAATATCTAACCAATGCCTCTGGCAATGCTGCCAGCGCTTTCCTGTCTCTACTGAAACCGCCTTGCCATGCACATCCTAAAGTCACATAATTTTTTGTGAATAGTAAATTTATTCAAAAAAAGATGGCTGAGGGGTCCAAAACTACCTGCTAGATGAGAACACATCTAGTGAACAGTGCTTGCTGAATAACATATGGAGAAAATGTTCAGAGCCAGTAACTGTTGTTTTGACAAGTTTGTTAACGAAATACTCTATTTTATAAATATGGATGTTCCCTTTTGCCTTTTACAAAACAAAAATATCCTAAAGATACAACAAAACATTTGGGGTTAGAAAACCATTTCAAGAAGAGTCAAACTGAAATGCTTCTGTATTGTTAGAAACAAAACAAAACCTCACAAAATGTTGTCTTGGTTCAAGCAAAACCAGAATCTTTCTTGGGTTTTTCTGTTCATTCCCCAATCTAAAAAGCCCACTGTTTCTCCTGGTTTTGGTCTCAGATTACATGCTTGCAGTGATCTCTTGGGCATCTTATTGCCAAGTGACGTGACCGCAGATATCTGAAAATCACCTAGAGTAGCGCATTGCTTTGCTCAAGGGAGACGAAGTGCATTCTGCATGATCCCTTTCCAGATATACAGGACATACTTAATGCAGGATTAAGTCCCACTCCCTTTTTACACAGAATGATCATGTCCCCAGCTCTAGGCCTCTTCTGAGGAATCTATTCAATTTTCATCAAGCTACAATGAAAAATTCAAGTAATGCTGGAAGCTGGTTCCTCAGTCTTTCTTCCCCCTGTTATTAAGATTGAAAGCAAAAGGTTTAAAGGGGTAAGTAAACTGAAGGCATCAACTCAACCAGAACTCCTGTGATCAGCCACTCTGGAATATAAACAACTCTTGAGATCAGGGATTTTAATTTGTCTTTGTTAAAAACATGAAGTCATTCCTGAATGTTGCCAAGAGCCTGGAAGATGTTATAGCTGTTCTCCAGTTGTCCTGAGGCAGACATATTATCTTTCTGCTGAGTTTGCTGAACCATTATTTATCACCTGCCAAGACTGATTACTCACCCTCGGGACAATGACAAGTCTTTCCTTCCTCTGTTAATTACTGTCATCATTAATAGCCATGTCACTAATTAATATTCAATCATAATGAAAACTCTTTATTGCCATCTTCATAACACCTTCAGTTTTTAGGGTTACCCTCATACATTAGCTTTGCCTCTGCTTGCGGCTGTTTCTATCACTGCAACCTACTTTTGCCCCCCTACAGATACTACTTATGCCCTTCCTCAAATGAGAAACTTCAGATTTATCCTTATAAGACACTGTGAAGACTTGAGCGAATCCTTTACAAGACTCTCCTCTGTGAGACCAAGACACAGATTCCTTTATGTGTAAGTTTTCCAGAAAACTTCATCTTAACCTCTCCTGTAGGTTAAGCCTGATGGATGGTCCTCACATGACTCACCTTCACAAAAAGATCTTTTCTGGCTGATTTTCAGACTCCACATTTCACAGGCTTTTTTAGAGGACACCCGAGGGAGACCCTTGACCCTGACATGTTTCCACTAAACATTAACAGGGCATTTGAGATCTTCTGAAAACAAATAGTTGAGTGTGTTTTTGTAATAGAAAGTGTTGCCAGATCCAGGTAGAGGAATGGCCCCCATCTCCTTTACGCCCATCTCCATATATCCACATTTCCTCTGAGTCAGTATGCTCAGATCAAGGATAGTCAACAGCCTGTGAACATCTACTTCCTCCTCACCTATAATGAATTATATCTTTTTCCTTTAGGCTCTTATTTGAAGCTGAAGTAGATCAAGTTGCTTAATACCAACAGAATTTGTATGCGCAAACATATTCACAATGACCATTTATCCACCTACCTGGTTTAGAGACAGACTAGCACTTTTATATTTCTTGCTATTTTCTTCATTCTGTTCGGCCTCAGTGATCCCATAATAATAGCTAGTGTTCTCAGAAGGCCATTGCCTGTCAGCATGACAAATGAGTGGCCAGCCATGAAAAGATAAATTAAAAAAAAGTTCACAAGGTGTGAGGCCATCAGCAAGATACAGTTAATGAGGTGAGGCACCACCACTGTGTTCAACGCCTTTTCTACTCAACCTAAGTTGTTCTACCTCTTCCAGAAAATCCAGGACTTACTTGGAAAATGTAGAGGCATCTATAATCTGATTAGCCCACCTTCCACATGCTGTGTGAAATGGCAAAGGCAGACAGGATGATGTACCCTAATCCAGAAATTTCTAAAGATCTGCTGCCTGGCATGGAGGCTGTGCCGCTGGTTCTGGGCAAAAGAGCCAGGACCACAAGGGTCTGCTTGTCATCCATCGGACTTGGCATGTCCCTGACAAGGCATACACACATACATATACACACACACATATATATGTATACAAATAAAAAATACAAGAGTGTTTATGAAACTTCAGCAAATGTGCACCTTTGCATTTCTTTTTAGGCCTGATAAGACAATTGCATTTTTTGCTGAGTGTCATGAGGTGGCAGCACTGGCAAGCCCTGACAAGTGGAGGTGCACAGTGATTTGACATGGGACATGGCGTGTTGCCCAGGTGTGGCATCAGTGACCAAGGACTAAAGTCTGTCCTTTCTGATGGGAGTTGCTAAGCTGAGCCCTGATCACTGGATGCCACCCAGCAGCTACAGCTGATCAGGTGGGATGCTTTGAATCTCAGATTGTTTACAGACTGACATTGCACTAACAAATACCAACACTGAAGAAAGGGATGCCTTAAAAAAATAAAACCACAAACCAAACTGTCTGATCATGTTATGAAAGGT